CGCATTGCGCATACGGCTCGCAGCAACACTGTTACGAGGCCCAGCTCTAGAGTGGATTCCCAACAGAATAGTCCAAGGCGAAGGGACGTGGGCGCAGTTTTGAGCAGCACTGATCAGACAGATCGACGCGTTGAACAGTAGCTACTACGGAACACGACGCAACAAGCCAAATAAATCAATTCGCGGGTTGCAGCAGTTCCTAGGCTTCGCCAATTACTACAACAGGTTCGTGCCGCAGTATGCTAAGATAGCAGCGCCACTGACCAACCTACTAAAAAAGGATATGCCCCACAAATGGGATACTCCACAACAGCTACAGACAGCACTGACTACAGCGCCAGTACTCATCCTACCGGATCCAGATAGAGACTACGTGGTGGAAGCAGATGCTAGTGACCAAGCAGTCGGAGCAGTACTGATGCAGGATCACGGACGCGGTTTGCAGCCCATCGCCTACCTCAGTAAGAAGCTACACGGAGCAGAACTGAACTACCCCATCCATGACAAGGAAGCCTTAGCGATAGTCACAGCCTTCAAGGCGTGGAGGTGTTACTTAGAGAGAGCCAAGCCTATAAATTACACTGACCACTGCAGCCTCAAATACTTGAAGTCGCAGCCTACGCTCTCACGACGATAGGTGCGTTGGGTGGATTTCCTCGAGACCCACTTCCACTACGACATCGTCTACAAGCTCGGGCTACACAATAAAGCAGACACGTTGAGTCGCCCCGGACATGTAGCAAGCATCCAGCTCGACGGGATGAACCCTCTATTCCAACATGGATACTCCGTGGACGCAGAGATTGCTACAGCAGAACAACAGAAGCTGTTACAATTGGAGAATGACTTAGCTGTAAGAAAGGGATCGGGAAAGATTTAGGTACCGAACTCTGCCTTGCTCCGACAGATTTTACTGGAGGAGTTCCACGATGTAGCATATGCGGGACATTTCGAGAGTAACAAGACATTAGCGGGAATAGCGAAGTATTACTACTGGCCCCGGATGGTAGCAGACGTGCAGCAGTTCGTCACCTCATGCGACACGTGCTAGCGGATGAAGAGTAGCAAGCAGAAAAAAGCAGGGTTACTTCAGCCTCTACCCGTACCGGAGCAGCCATGGCAGGTCGTTAGTCTCGACTTCATCACAGAACTTCCTTCGACCTCCCGAGGGCATGATTCTATAATCGTAGTGATCGATAAGTACTCCAAACTGAGTCACTTCATACCGACCAACGCCACGGTAACAGCTGAAGTAACTGCGCGCCTCTTCTTCGACCGCATCATCACCATCCACGGCATCCCCGCTACACTCATCTCAGACAGAGACCCAAAGTTCACTAGTAAGTTCTGGAGGGAACTTATGGGATTGTTGGGGACAAAGCTTGCGATGTCTTCAGCGTACCATCCCCAGACTGATGGACAGACAGAGCGACTCAATCAGATGGTTGAACAGTTACTGCGCACAGCTTGCAAAGACGACATCAGCCACTGGGATCAACATTTATCAACGCTTGAGTTCGCTTACAACAACGCGTCGCATGCGGCCACAGGGAAATCTCCTTTCTTCCTGTGCTATGGACGGGAACCACTTACACCACAGCAGCCAACTACACTGGCATATATCCAAGCCGCACACGACTTTGTCACCACCATGCAGCAGCTATGGGAGAAGACTCAGCGACGTCTTTCCACGATGCAGAACTCCCAGAAGCAGTATGCCGATCGACAGCGACGAGATCACTCAGTAGTAGTCGGAGATCAGGTGCTTCTCGACACACGCAACTTGGACTTGTCTCACATTCCGTCCAAGCTCCGGCCTCGCTTCTGTGGTCCCTTTCGCGTTGAGGCGATGGTGACACCTGTTACATTCCGCTTGCGCTTACATTCTACATGGAAGCTTCACAACGCTTTCCATGTTCAGCTGCTGAAACCCTACAAGGACCCCAACCAGCAGTTTACGGGACGACAGCTACCGCCACCACCACCTGTACTCGTACAGGATGAACCAGAGTACGAGGTGGAACAAGTTCTCGCTCATCGACGCAGACGCGGCAACACGCTCGAGTTCCTGATACGTTGGAAGGGATATGACCCGTCGGAGGACAGTTGGGTTGTAGAAGCTGATATGGGCAACGCACGCCGTGCTCTCAAGGATTATCTTGTCAAGCAGGGTGTTTCTCACGCCACCCAGCTTTGAGGGGGGGACGTGTGAGAGTACGACGACTTTGCTATGATTTACTAGCTTGATTCTGCTTTATTATGCATTATCTAGCTTAGCTTTATTTTATTTTGCTTGCTTTTGCTAGATTTCCTAGGTTCGTTGCTTTTACTATATTTATTATAGTTATAGGCACCGAACTAGGTTGAGTGCACCGAATTCTAGGCTTTTCGGTTGCCACCGAATTGCCTTCTACCGAATTCGGGAAGGACCCGTTCAGGACGCTTCGCGACCCGCGGAACCTTCTAGTAACACCCGGGTTACTGCCTTTGTGTCGAGCCTATATATAGCCTCGCCTTGTACCCAGGTGCATTATTCAATAGTTCAATCTTTCCTGAACCAGATCCTCACAATGCCCCTCCCAGTTTCAACTTCAGCAGGGGTGGCCGAGCCTTGGTGTTCAATCTGACATACGTAGCGCATGGGGGCGAGTCGGGACGTGCTGCCAGCGTGGATGTTCAACACGAGTCTCCTGGGAGATGACGTGCTGAGCCGCCCAGACACTCTCTTCCAGCTCGTTGCCTTCGGCTCGTCGCTGCACGATCTTACCAAGGAGAACTCAACATTGGACTACAGAAGAACAACAAGTGCGTCTCCTTGCCGTCTCATGTGCTCTGTGTTGTGTGCTCCCCATGTTCCTCTCCTTGCCGTCTCATGTGCTCTTTGCTGTGTGCTCCCCATGTTCCTCCCCTTCCCATCTCATGTGCTCTTTACTGTGTGCTCCCCTTGGTTCCCTCTTTGGCCCTTCAGCCTTGCGCCTACTGCCTAGCATGCAGAGGCACTTGCAGGTCACCCGGCGCCAAGTGACCACCTTGTCAGAATGTGATGTTTGTCTAGCCTGCTGTGGGGTACTCTATAGCGAGTACAGCCCAAATTAGGGTTTGCTATATGTACTCAACTGCCTGCTAGTGAAAACCCCTCTTTCCTGTTTCTAATTCCTGCCGAGTCTTTTGACACTTCTTTGGCCCGTGGGCAGCGAGAGAGGACATCGAGCCGCACTGGCTCATCTTCAGGAGCAACAACGTGCGTGGCATGGCCTTCGAGAAGGAAGCTTCCAGGTAGGTGGTGCTTTAGAAGGAAGCTTTTCAGGTTAGCAGCATGTCACTCACCTCATGTCAGACTCACATTGCTCCCCAGCTTTATGGCATTGAACCACTACAATTGAGCATTTTTCCACATCATTGCACTCAATGTGACTGGACACAACCTTAGGACGGAGCGGAGAAGGTGGTGTGATCGCCAGCTTCTTGCATCGAAGGCCATCTCCTGAAATCATTAATCAAGTGAGGTGGTAGGTGTGAAAATAGTATGAAGGTATGATCGAGATTAGGGCAAGGAGGGGGATACAAAGAAGTGTCGAGCAAACTTCTGTACCCCCTAAGGCTAAACCCACTACAGCCTACATAACATTAAACATATAATTTGACACACCCCCATAGGCGAAGTGGGGGATAGCCAACACAACAAACGGTCACAAGACCAGTCAAGAGAAGAAACAAAGCAAAGCTCAGGGTGGATCACAACGTCACCACGCATTCTGAGCACAAGCACAAGGCCACAAGGCTAGTTCACAAGCAGAGTTATATATCAAGGTGAACAAGCAATGCAGTGATCTCAACCTAGCAAGGGTAAGCATGCAGGTGCAGGTATATATAGATCACAGTACAAGCTGTTGTGTGATGCAACCATATGCATTCACGTCTGTCTGCCTCCCATCATGTGTTCGTGTGTTGCATGCGTGGTGTGAGCGCGTGCAAGAATTTGTGTTTTGCGCGGTTTGGATTTCCTGAGTGTGTGTGAATGGTATTTGGCTTGAGCAGATATCTGAAGTGATTACTCTGCCCAAGAGCTTCCCGACGAACCAAGAATCGTCGCGATCGGAGCAATATCAAGAAAGTTACGAACGTTGGAGTTCGTATGCTTTCTGTACTTTGGTTGCGGCGACTATGGGAAGTTGTGGAGTTTTGCTACATATGGGGTACAGACTTTTGGGGTTGGGAATTCGAACCCATCACTGTAGATTGCTGCCATGTGGTTGGGAGAAGCCAAACCAGGTTGGCAAGTGTGGCCAAGTGGGTTGAGGTGGATGGCATGAGTTGGGAAAGTGACAAATGTGAAAGTGGGGTTGCCTATGGAGAGGGGATTTGTGTGGCATGGGGTTTCCTTGGTTGGGGACTCCCTTGGGACCTTCCCTCTCGTCCTCCTCTTCCCTCCCACCTGGTTTAGTGCTACTCTAAATCTTGTCTGTGTAACTTGTGAACTTGTGAGAACTATTGTGAGTGAGTTAAGTTTCTATGTGGCAGCATACCCCCTAGTGCGCCGAAAAGCATAACTCGAGATATACTCCATCATTTGATACGATTCAAATTGGGAACGATGGTCCTGGTTACAGGCTACAACATACTCAAGTTTAAGACAATTCTAACGGTGCAATTTTAGCTGACAACGTTTCGTGTGAAGTCGTGGTTTCTGTCCAGAATTTTGAGCCAACGATTTTGAGTTATTTGGGCACCTAATCTTCATAGACTCGATCCTTAATCTCTAACAAGTGGTATCAGAGCGATTGAGGACTTTGTGGGGAGTCTACTGAAGTGTGAAGACCCTCCTAGACCCACCATGGCCTGTGGGCGTGCCTAAGTGGAGCTCTGGAGGTTGGGAGTGACTTCCGCTAAGGGGAAACTCTGCCGAAATTTCGTTGGCGCCGACACTTGTGAAGATTGTGTGGATCTACATTGTGACCAGCAAAAGGGGGAGCTGAAACCTCTGATTGGGAGCAGAGGAGATGAGTGGAGAAGCAGCTGAGAAGAAGAGTGAACCGCCACCGTCCAAGATCGAGGCTTTGGACGGCTCCAACTATGAGGAATGGAGCGGGCGGATGCGGAGCGCCTTCAAGCGCTACAAGCTGCTGAAACTTGCGATGGGAGAGGAGAAGATACCAGAGGAAGGAGATGCCCACGATCGATGGATTGAGAAGAGCGCGGTGCTGTACGACTTGATAATGCAATCGGTCAACAACGACATGTTCCAGCACATCAAAGACCTAGTGGAGCTGGACGACTCCGGACCGAAGGCGTGGAAGCTGCTACGCGACGTGGTTCAGCCCAACACGCTGCCAATGGTGATTGTGTTGGAGAAGGAGCTGGCGGCCCTCTCCATGCGACCGGGAGACGATGTGAAACCGGTCCTTGACAAGATCAAGGACACTTACGCGAGGATGGCAGCGGCGGGCAGCAAGGTGTCGGAGATGCAGCAGTGCACCAAGATCATCTCGGTGCTCGACAACTCGTGGGACAACCTCATCCCCACCCTCAACGTTCAGCAGGACAAGTGGACGCCAGAGTGGCTACGGCAGCAGATCCTGCAGGAGGACTTCCGCAAGCGCCACACGGGAGGTGGTGCTGCCAACAAGACTGCTGAAGGGTATGGAGCTGCAGGAGGTAGCAAAGGAAGAGGGGGAGGGAGAGGCCGAGGCCGTGGGAGAGGCTTTGGCAAAGGAAGAGGCCGAGGTGACTGCAACGAAGGGCATGGAAGCTCCAGTGGCAGGGGGAGCACCCGAATGGAGGGTGCATGCTGGTACTGCAAGAAGGCTGGACACCCGTGGTTCAAGTGTTTCAGCCGGCCTGAAGGATGGGCGCCTCCAGGCATGAAGCCGCCAAGTGGTGAACGTGCACGAGGTGGTGCTGTGCAAGGTTCAGGTGCACAAGGTGATGGTGCACAAGTGAGGATGATGTGGGTTCGGTTGGGAAGGTTGTGATGCACCCCCTCACTCACTGGGTGATTGATTCAGGTTGCACGAGTCACATGACTCCGCGGGCAGATTTGCTTGATGAGGTGAAGCCCCCTGGGAAGATTAAGTTTGTGGCTGCCGCTTCAGGTGCTTTGCTCCCTGTGATTGGTGTTGGGAATGCCAAGGTGATGGGAGCCAATGGGGGACTTGTGGGGCTTGGGAATGTCCTACTTGTTGAAGGCTTGTCCGCTAACCTTCTCTCTGTGCGCCGGCTGCAGAAAAGCAAGGCCAAAGTTACATTCGGCCCAACCAGCTGCCGTGTCAAGCTTGGGAAGTTGCTGCTGTGGGATTTGGAGGAGAAGAGCAGCTGCATCAAGGACCTGTGGCAGCTGCCCATCATCCCTTGGAATGGGAAACCACCAGCAACGGCAAAGGCAGCGGCAGCGGCTAAGACAACTACGGAAGGATACGCCCTTCAAATGGGATACTCCTCATCAGCAAGCCATGGAGCAGCTACAGACAGCATTGACCACAGCGCCAGTACTCATCCTACCGGACCCAGACAAGGACTACGTAGTTGAAGCAGACGCTAGTGACCAGGCAGTCGGAGCAGTACTGATGCAGGATCACGGGAACGGTTTACAGCCTATCGCCTACCTCAGTAAAAAGCTACACGGAGCAGAACTGAACTACCCCATTCACGACAAGGAAGCCTTAGCTATAGTCGTAGCCTTCAAAGCGTGGAGGTGTTACCTAGAGGGAGCCAAGACCACAGTCTATACTGACCACTGCAGCCTTAAATACCTGAAGTCGCAGCCGACACTTTCACGACGACAGGTGCGGTGGGTGGATTTCTTGGAGACTCACTTCCACTACGACATCGTCTACAAACCCGGGCTCCACAACAAAGCTGACGCGTTGAGCCGCCCAGGTCATGTAGCAGGCATCCAGCTCGACGGGATGAACCCTCTCCTCAAGGGTCTATTCCAACATGGGTACTCCGTGGATGGCGAGATAGCAACGGCAGAGAAACAGAAGCTGTTACAGTGGGAGAAAGACTTAGCGGTAAGGAAGGGTTCAGGAAAGATTTGGGTACCGAATTACGCCCCGCTACGACAGATCCTATTGGAGGAGTTTCATGACGTACCATACGCGGGACATTTCGGGAGCAACAAGACGTTAGCGGGAATAGCAAAGTATTACTACTGGCCTCGGATGGCAGCAGACGTGCAGCAGTTCGTCACCTCATGCGACACATGCCAGCGGATGAAGAGTAGCAAGCAGAAAAAAGCAGGGTTACTTCAGCCTCTACCCGTACCGGAGCAGCCATGGCAGGTCGTTAGTCTCGACTTCATCACAGGACTTCCCTCGACCTCACGGGGACATGATTCCATCCTCGTAGTGATCGATAAGTTCTCCAAAATGGGTCACTTCATACCGACCAACGCCACAGCTACAGCTGAAGCAACTGCTCGACTCTTCTTCGACCGCATCATTACCATCCACGGCATCCCCACTACACTCATCTCAGACAGAGACCCAAAATTCACGAGTAAGTTCTGGAAGGAGCTTATGGGACTGTTGGGGACTAAGCTTGCGATGTCTTCAGCATACCATCCCCAGACTGACGGACAGACAGAGCGACTCAATCAGGTGGTTGAACAGTTACTGCGCACAGCTTGCAAAGACGATGTCAGCCACTGGGACACACAGTTACCGACCTTAGAGTTCGCCTACAACAACGCCTCGCATGCGGCCACAGGAAAAACCCCTTTCTTCCTGTGTTACGGACGGGAACCACTCACACCACAGCAGCCAACCACACCGGCACACGTCCAAGCCGCACACGACTTCGTCACCACCATGCAGCAGCTATGGGAGAAGACTCAGCGACGTCTCACCACGATGCAGAACTCCCAGAAGCAGTATGCAGATCGTCAACGACGAGATCACTCAGTAGCCGTTAGAGATCAGGTGCTTCTTGACACGCGCAACTTGAACCTGTCTCACCTCTTATCTAAACTCCGGCCTCGCTTCTGTGGTCCATTTCTCGTGGAGGCACAGGTGACACCAGTTACATTCCGCTTGCGCTTACCAGATACGTGGAAGCTTCACAACGCTTTCCATGTTCAGCTACTGAAACCCTACAAGGACCCCAACCAACAGTTCCAGGGACGGCAGCTACCGCCACCACCACCTGTTCTTGTGCAGGATGAACCAGAGTACGAGATCGAGCGCGTTCTCACTCATCGGCGCCGCGGCGGCAAGACCCTCGAGTTCCTGATACGCTGGAAGGGATATGACCCCACTGAGGACAGTTGGGTTGCAGAAGCTGATATGGGCAATGCACGCCGTGCTCTCAGGGACTATCTTGTCAAGCAGGGTGTATCTCACGCCACCCAGCTTTGAGGGGGGGACGTGTGAGAGTACGACGGCTTATGCTGGCTTTGCTAGCTTGCCTTTACTTTATTATGCATTATCTAGCATAGCATTATTTTGCTACGCTTGCTTTTGCTTGATTTCCTAGGTTCGTTGCTTTTACTATAGTTATTATAGTTATAGGCACCGAACTAGGTTGCGTACACCGAATTTTAGGCTTTTCGGTTGCCACCGAATTGCCTTCTACCGAATTCGGGAAGGCTCTGTTCGGGACGCTTCGCGACCCTCGGAACCTTTGCGTAACACCTGGTTACTGCCCCTTGTGTCGAGCCTATATATAGCCTCGCCTTGTACCCAGGTGAAACATTCAATTCCATTCTCTTTTCTGAGCTCGATCCTAAGATCTTCACAGGCGGCTGCTGCAGGGGCGGCTGCTCCAGTGGCCAGGGGCGGCTGCTGCAGGGGCGGCTGCTCCAGGGGCAGGGGCGGCTGCTGCAGGGGCGGCTGCTCCTACAACAAGCAAGTAGCAGCAGCTGCAGCAAGTAGCAGCAGTGGCAGCAAGTAGAAGCAGCTGCAACAAGTAGCAGCACCGGCAGAAAGTAGGAGCAGCTGCAGCAAGTAGCAGCAGTGGCAGCAAGTAGAAGCAGCTGCAGCAAGTAGCAGCAGTGGCAGCAAGTAGAAGCAGCTGCAGAGCAGTAGCGCAGGCGTAGTGCAGCGTGCAGGCCTGGCGTGGGCTGTACTGGCCGCGCGCGGGCCTGACGTGGCCTGTACGGGCCGCGCGAATGCCTAACGCGGACTGTACGGGCGCTCGCGGGCCTGACGTGGCCTGTACGGGCTGCGCTAACGCCTAGCACTGACTGTACGGGCCGCGCGCGGGCCTAACGCAGGCTATACGGGCCGCGCGCGGGCGTGGCGCGGGCTGTACGGGCGGCGCGAAGGCCAGACGGGGGCTGTACGGGCTGCTCGCGGGCTACGCGCGACAGGACAGGGCAGGGCCGCGGGGCAGCGAAAATCGATGCACCTAAGGGCGCATTTCGGGCAGAAAAATGTAGAGAATGCGATTCGGGCAGGAACACGGAAGGTTTAACGGTGGGCCCTAAAAATTTTCGTCCTAGGCTAGGAACGTCCTAGCTCTTAATACCATGTGAAAATAGTATGAAGGTATGTTCGAGATTAGGGCAAGGAGCAGGGCCTCAGATTTCAGCGAAAAAAGGCTGATTTGGGTTAAAAAGGCTGAGATTTCAGACTGTTTCTAAGAATCATGGCTGATTTTTCGGTCATTTGTTGGAAAAGAACATGAAAAACTGTGAAATTTATAGTGTAAAATGGCAGAAAATGGCTAATTTGTCTGATTTTCAACATACAAGTTTGTACCGACTCTGATCTTTCAGCCTAGGCCAAAACCAATCTGAGGCCCTGGCAAGGAGGGGGATACAAAGAAGTGTCGAGCAAACTTTTGTACCCTTTAAGGTTAAACCCACTACAGCCTACATAACATTAAACATATAATGTGACAATAGGAAACTGCATATATTTTCACTGGACGAAATGCCCTAACTCTTTGCTCCTTGCTGTTGTGCTACCCTCCTATTGGTTTTCCTTCTTTGATTTTCCATGCCAGGCTGCTCCCACTTCAAGGATATGAGAGCTTTGTGCCAATGACCTTTGACTTGTCTCTTGACTTATCGCTTCCTCGTCCTGACTTGTCTCTTGACAGCACGCACTATTTGTGGGTGGTTACACTCACCATTCTCGACATCTGGTTTACCACCGCTTGCTTAGAAACATAGTGATTGCCATAGAGGCCCTTGCATCATATTCCCTTAAATATATGGCCCCAGGTGTCTCAAAGCGCTCAAGAGATTGGGTTATGGGTGCGTGCGGAATGTTCTATAAAGAATTATACGTATGTTTCATTAGTAAAACATATTACTAAGGCCAGAGTGTTAAATTCAACAGCTAGCAAAGAATACCATCGTTTACAGTGGAATTGTAATTCCTTACTGTACTCGCACTTTAGCGAGTACATCCCGAAGGTGTCGCGACGAACCTGTTCGGCCTAATTCGTCGCACCGAACCACTCCCGAGTCGGCTCCGCACCAATCGCAACCATCACCGAGCCATCTTCGCCCTACCTCTTCGCCTAGCTAGGATTTCCCCTATTTAGTCGTGCCTTTCTCATTGTATCGTCAACCATTCTCATTACCCGATATCTGCGCACTCTGACAAGTTCATTCATAACACCTGGTATCAGAGCTACTTTCCTAGACTACCTCGCTTTTTAGAGTGTATTACCCCTCGGGGGGGGGGGGGGGGGGGGGGGGGGGGGGGGGGGACGTGGATGTCCTGGGGTACAGGAGTTGCGTAGGCCGGCCAAGAGAACGGGTTAGTTGCTCTTCGCGGCCATGGATTTAACGTGCACTCCTCGGTACCGCCGGATCCTTGCCTCGTACGGTCGCGATCGACCATGACCTCCCTCCCCCCGGGCGACGGGCAGCAGTGGCTGTCGCGACGTTTTTGTAAGTAATTTCCGCTGCGATTTCCCGACGATTTCGGAGGTTTATTCGTGTGGCAGCTGGCGTCAGCGGACCTGCGTCGGCATCTGCATGGACGGCCTCGATTTCGTCAGCATGTGTGGCTGTTGACGTCGGCCGTCCTGCGTCAACAGTTGCGCGAAGATTTCGGAATCGTCTGCACGCGGCAAGTGGCGTCGGTGGCTCGCCGTCATCTTGTGCGCAAGATTCTCGGAAGAATCTTCGGCAGCTAGCGACAACGGGCCTGCGTCAGCAAGGGCGACAATTTCGGAGCAACAGTTGAAGAAAAAGTCGGCTGGGGAACTCGCCAGGCGCAAATGGAGTTTTGCGTCCGAAAATGTCGGTGGCGAGGAGAGACGACACAAGACTGCCCGACTTAGGGGGGGTTAGCTGCCGTCCCGCCCGACCTGTTAAGTGCAGCGGCTTTTACTGCATGGCGGGTGCGTCATCGAGTATTTCGGCAAGTGTGAGGATCGAGGATCGAGTTCAGAAATGAGAATGTAAAACTAAATGATCACCTGGGTACAACACAAGGCTATATATAGGCTCGACACAAGGGGCAGTAACCAGGTGTTACGCGAATGTTCCGAGGGTCGCGAAGCGTCCCGAACAGAACCTTCCCGAACTCGGTAGAAAGCAATTCGGTGGCAACCGAATAGCTTGAGTTCGGTACACGTAACCTAGTTCGGTGCCTATAACTATAATAACTATAGTAAAGCAACGAACCTAGGAATCAAGCAATTCATGCATGCATAAAATAATCCTAAGCTAGAAGTAGCGTAAGGAAATAAAAGCAAGCATGAATAACAAGCATAAGCCGTCGTACTCTCACACGTCCCCCCCTCAAAGCTGGGTGGCGTGAGATACACCCTGCTTGACAAGATAATCCTTGAGAGCACGGCGTGCGTTGCCCATATCAGCTTCTGCAACCCAACTGTCCTCAGTGGGGTCATATCCCTTCCAGCGTATCAGGAACTCGAGGGTCTTGCCGCCGCGGCGCCGATGAGTGAGAACGCGCTCGATCTCGCACTCTGGTTCATCGCCGATATGGGAGTTCTGCATCGTGGTGAGACGTCGCTGAGTCTTCTCCCATAGCTGCTGCATGGTGGTGACGAAGTCGTGTGTGGCTTGGACGTGTGCCGATGTGGTTGGCTGCTGTGGTGTGAGTGGTTCCCGTCCGTAACACAGGAAGAAAGGAGTTTTTCCTGTGGCCGCATGCGAGGCGTTGTTGTAAGCGAACTCTAAGGTTGGTAACTGTGTGTCCCAGTGGCTGATGTCGTCTTTGCAAGCTGTGCGCAGTAACTGTTCAACCACCTGATTGAGTCGCTCCGTCTGTCCGTCAGTCTGGGGATGGTATGCTGAAGACATCGCAAGCTTAGTCCCCAACAGTCCCATGAGCTCCTTCCAGAACTTACTCGTGAATTTGGGGTCTCTGTCTGAGATGAGTGTAGCGGGGATGCCATGGATGGTGATGATGCGGTCGAAGAAGAGTCGAGCAGTTGCTTCAGCTGTAGCTGTGGCGTTGGTCGGTATGAAGTGACCCATTTTGGAGAACTTGTCGATGACTACGAGGATGGAATCGTGTCCCCGTGAGGTCGAGGGAAGTCCTGTGATGAAGTCGAGGCTAACGACCTGCCATGGCTGCTCCGGTACGGGTAGAGGCTGAAGTAACCCTGCTTTCTTCTGCTTGCTACTCTTCATCCGCTGGCACGTGTCGCAGGAGGTGACGAACTGCTGCACGTCTGCTGCCATCCGAGGCCAGTAGTAATACTTTGCTATACCCGCTAACGTCTTGTTGCTCCCGAAATGTCCCGCGTATGGTACGTTGTGAAACTCTTCTAGCAGGATCTGCCGTAGCGGGGCGTAATTCGGTACCCAAATCTTTCCTGAACCCTTCCTTACCGCTAAGTCTTTCTCCCACTGTAACAGCTTCTGTTTCTCTGCTGTAGCGATCTCGCCGTCCACGGAGTACCCATGTTGGAATAGACCCTTGAGCAGAGGGTTCATCCCATCGAGCTGGATGCCTGCTACATGACCTGGGCGGCTCAACGCGTCAGCCTTGTTGTGTAGCCCGGGTTTGTAGATGATGTCGTAGTGGAAGTGAGTCTCCAAGAAATCCACCCACCGCACCTGTCGTCGTGAGAGCGTTGGCTGCGACTTCAGGTATTTGAGACTGCAGTGGTCAGTATAAACTGTGGTCTTGGCTCCCTCTAGGTAACACCTCCACGCTTTGAAGGCTACGACTATGGCTAAGGCTTCCTTGTCGTGAATGGGGTAGTTCAGTTCTGCTCCGTGTAGTTTCTTACTGAGGTAGGCGATAGGCTGTAAACCGTTCCCGTGATCCTGCATCAGTACTGCTCCGACTGCCTGGTCACTAGCGTCTGCTTCAACTACGTAGTCCTTCTCGGGGTCTGGTAGGATGAGTACTGGCGCTGTGGTCAGTGCTGTCTGTAGCTGTTCCATGGCTTGCTGATGAGGAGCATCCCATTTGAAGGGCGTATCCTTTTTTAGTAGGTCTGTCAGTGGCGCTGCTATCTTAGCGTACTGCGGCACAAACCTGTTGTAGTAGTTGGCGAAGCCGAGGAGCTGCTGCAACTCCTTCACGTTCTCCGGAACCTTCCACTTTTTAACGGCTTCGATCTTCCGCGGGTCCACGTGTACGCCCTCGGCACTCACCATGTGCCCGAGAAACTGCACCTTCTTCAGGGCGAAGTCGTTATTCGACAGCTTCACGTAGAACTTGTTTTTCCGCAGGATCTCGAACACCTTCCGCAGATGGTCCACGTGTCAGAATATTATGCTCTAGCCTGTAGTGGGGTGCTCTGTAGCGAGTACAACCCTTCTAGGGTTTGCTATTTGTATCCCCATTCTTGCTAGTTCAGTCCTCTTTTGCCTTCATTCTCTCTTGCCTAGCTAGGTCAACCCTAGCTATGGCTCCTCAGTATACCTACTATCACGACATGGTATTAGAGCTTAACGTTCCTGGCCTGTGGGCCCACTTCACTGCTTCCGCTGCTACTGCTACTCCCTGTCCGCCGCGCGCCCCGTGGTGCGCGGCGTCGAAATTAGGGTTTTCAGCCCGCCGTGCGCCCCGAGGCGCGCGGCGGTTTTCTGCCCGCCGTGCGCCCCGAGGCGCGCGGCGGTTCTCTGCCCGCCGTGTGCCCCGAGGCGCGCGACGGGTTCCTGCCCCGTCACTCGGCACGTCGCCCCCGGGAGGCGCTGCGACGGGCGACGGGGACCCGCGCGTCGCCCCCCGTCGCCCGTCGTGGCCTGCACGCGGCCCGTACACCCGGCACGCGGCCCGTACGGGCTGCGCCAGGCCTGCGCGCGGCCCGTACGGGCTGCGCCAGGCCCGCGCGCGGCCCGTACGGGCTGCGCCAGGCCCGCGCGCGGCCCGTACGGGCTGCGCCAGGCCCGCGCGCGGCCCGTACGGGCTGCGCCAGGCACGCGCGCGGCCCGTACGGGCTGCGCCAGGCCCGCGCGCGGCTCGGACCGCCTGCGCGCGGTTCGGGAGGCGGTGCCAGGCCCGTGGGCGGCCCGTTCTTCGCTTCCCCTGTCCTCCCCGCTGTCCCCCGTGCTTCTGAATGTTAGAGGGCCCTACGACAGCAAGGGCCCTCGCGAAATGTTAGACTTGGCAGGTTGACGACCGACGACCTGGTCTACTCGGCACCGTCGCACAGGTTCGATGGCAGTCAAGTGTGACTACGGGTGAATGCGAGCTGCAGTAAGGAATCTGCTGAAGTCGGTGCTGGGAAGTAGAGTCGTGGGAGTCTTTGTGTGCTTCCTTATGAGGCACGCCACTCCCAAGCTGAGTCGGATGGAGTTGCGTGCTCGGAAGGTTTTCGCTGCTGAGTTGGATGGAAGTTTGGCGGGGCGCGTTCGCCAACTCCCACAGCACTTTCGTGTGGGTTGGGTTACTCGCAGCGCCCTCGCTACCTTTTGTGAACGCTTGCTTGCCTTTATATGTTTGTGTTTGCTTGTGTGTTTCATATATTCTATTTTCCTAGTGAAGTCCAATCTCTACTCAAATTCTCACTTAGTCATTTGAGACCAACGCTACCCAAACGCTACCGAATTCCTAGCGCAACATCATTCCCATAAGCAGAATCTCTCTCGCCGTCGTAGTGCTCTCCATAATATTCCTTCACTGAAGGCGCCCCACCCCTCCTTCTGCCCGTTCTCCTGGATTAGGGTTTGGGGTGGGGGGTATGGGGGTGCAGCTTCAGTGTGCCGTTCCCTGCTCCTCCTCCTCCCTCGTCTCCCTCTGCTACAGCTGCCGCTGAGGGGGGTGGTGTGTGGGAGCCTAGGGTTTGGGGTCTAAGGGGGGTACCGTCGGAGTGGAGCTAGGGTTTGAAGCAGGGGGTGTGTGTCGAGGGGTGTGGGACAGTTGGAGGAGGTTGAGCGGAGGCCGCCGTCGTGTCGTCCGCAGCGCCTGTATTCCGGGGTTCGATTAGCCACCGGTAGCTCAGAGAGCCGGTTGCGCCGTCGCCTGTGGGTCCGTTGCTCCTGCCGCGCATATTAGCCGCGGAGCCTGTTACTCCTGTACTCCGGGGCACTCATTCCCGGTAGCCACGTTGTCGCACCAGAGCCGTCTGTTGCCCGTGTGTCTGCAGCTTCAGTCGTCGCCTCCTATCTACTCTCCTCTCGCCAGCCCTCCTCCTCCTCACTTGACCCCTTGTGACTGCCTCTAGCTTTGCTCATAATTGTGAACCTTAAACTATTGCTTCTTGCTTGTGCTCAGAATGAGTGGTGACATCGTGATCCACCCTGAGCTTGTACTGCTTTGTTTCCTCTGCTGATTACACCCCACTTTGGCTATGGGGGTGTGTCAGAATATTATGCTCTAGCCTGTAGTGGGGTGCTCTGTAGCGAGTACAACCCTTCTAGGGTTTGCTATTTGTATCCCCATTCTTGCTAGTTCAGTCCTCTTTTGCCTTCATTCTCTCTTGCCTAGCTAGGTCAACCCTAGCTATGGCTCCTCAGTATACCTACTATCACGACACCACGTGCTCCTTCATGTTCTTGGAGTAGATGAGAATGTCGTCCAGACACACTACTACGCACTCGTCCAGCAGGGGCCGTAGAATATGGTTCATCTCCGCCTGGAACGTTGCTGGTGCGTTGCAGAGTCCGAACGGCATCACCAAGTATTCGTAGGAGCCGTATCTTGTACGGAACGCCGTCTTGTGGATCGAGTTGTCCGCCATCTTGATCTGCCAGTAACCCGACCGTAAGTCCAGCTTCGAGAAGACTGTTGCTCCACGCAGTTGGTCCAGTAAGTCGTCGATGCGCGGTATGGGGTATTTGTTTTTTACTGTCTGTTTGTTCAGTGCGCGGTAGTCGATGCACATCCGTAAACTGCCGTCTGGTTTGGGTGTGAAGAGAACTGGTGCGCCGTAGGGAGAGGTGGATGGTCGGGTCAGATGTCTGTCCAGTAGATACTCGATCTGTTTTTTCATGTCTGTCAGCTCGGTCGGACTCAGTCTGTAAGGTGTACGTGAGACGGGTTTCGCACCTGGTTCCTCCACGATCTCGTGCTCGTGGGTGCGTGCAGGAGGTACGCCTGCAGGTAGGTCGTCGGGCATGATGTCTTTGTACTGCTCCAAGACCTTTTTCACTGCTGCGGGTAGCTCGGAACCCTTTTTCACCTCTTCTGCTGCAGCCATGACCAGTGCTAGGTAACCCGTGTTGCTCTCGTTTACCGTCTGTTCGAACCGTGCCAGTGTCGTTTCAGGTATGTCCCCTGTATCCGTCCAGCTTCGTAGTGCTATCCGCTTCCCGTTGTTGTAGATGCACATCTTGCTGTTGACCCAGTCGATCTCGGGGTTGAACCGCTTCAGGAAATCTCGCCCCAAGATGAAATCTAACCCTTTGATGTTGGTAACAGGTAGCTTCGGCTTCCATCTCAACGCACCTATATGCAGCTGCAAGGTTGCTTCGCCGTGGATGGGGAGCTTCGTACCGTCCACCATGGTTGCTGAAAACTGGGTCTCCTCCGCCTTCTCTCCAATTTTCTCCAATGTTCCGCGGTCGCACACTGAGTGAGATGCACCGCTGTCCACCATTGCCTGGAGGCGTCGCCCATTGCATAACACCTCGAGGAGTAGTGGTTTCTGCTGCGCTGAGTAGCCAAAGAGGGTCTCATTAATAGGATCATAGGGTACATCAAAATGAATACCTTCCCTACTTCCTATACCCGACTCAGCACTTTCCAACTTCACCTGGGGGGTAGGAGGATTTTTCCGAGGCTTGTATAATTTCTCCTGAGCCTGGATGTCTCCTCTAAGCCTTTGCAGCTGTGTAGGCTTCACCTGTGGGCAACGGGGAGCCTTAACACTATGCTGCGGGGAGAGAATATTAACACCACGGAACGCACGACCCTTTTCTACGCTCCGTAATACTTTGCCCAAATTTGCAGGTACCTGAATAATTTCTAAAGGCTTTTTCTTGGCCTCTAACTCTCCCCTGAATTTTTCAAAGGCTTGAAAACCACGAGAAGCAATATTTTTCGTTAGAGTATCTTTATAGGATACTTTTACGAATTCTTACTTTCGCGTGGGTCCGGCTGGAGTTTCCCGGTCGGTGCAGAGTCTTTTTTCGCGGAGCCACCAGTCGCCTCGGCGATTTCCCCTGATGCCGGCCGGTCGTGACGTTTTATATTCGCGCCATCATTTTCTCCTTTTTTCGCCTGCTCTGAAGTCGCCACGTCGTCGCCCTTTTTCGCTTTTCGGATCTTTACGCGATCGCCAGTTCGATCCGCGGCTACTGGCGATTCCCGTTTTTTTACTTCGGGGGTGCTCCACTGTTACCGCCCTGCATGATCGCACGTACTTTCTTCATCTTGTAGCACGACAAAATCTGATGCCCTGCTGCGCCGCAAAATTCGCATTTGGTCGGCTGTTGCTTCACGTCGAATTTGTCGATATCCATCGGTTCGGCGAACGTGGGGGGTGCCGATCGCTCCGTGCCGAATGTACGGTTCGGCGCGAAACGTCGTGTTTCGGGTTGACCTCGGGTCAGCGCGTCGTAACGTTCGGCTGCACGCACGATGTCCCTGTAGCTGTCGTAATTCGCCGCGATCACCTGCCGCCGAATCTCCAATTTTAACCCTTCTGTGTACGCCTGGATTTTTTCGCCTTCGGTCAGGTCGGGGATGCGGGTGAACAGGAGCTCCATCTGCTGCGTGTACTGCGCTACACTACTGTACTGCTTGTGCCGATGAATTTGTTGCCGCACCATGTAGGTAGTATTAATCGGTTCGAAACGCCCGATTAATTCTGCCCGAAACTGCGTCCACGTTTTCTCCCCGCGGGCCACGTCAGTGTTGTAGATCCACTCGAGTGCTGGTCCGCGTAACAGTGTCGCTGCGAGCCGGATTCGTGTCGCATCGTGTGTCGGGGTCGAACAGCCAATGGCCTCGAAGTAAATTTGGAGGGAGGATTGCCACGAAACGCCGGACGTCGGATCCCTTCGCGCTTGGATCGAACGCTTCCGGGAGCCTCGGTCGTGCTGCTTCGAGGTTCGGCGTCAGTGGTGCCATCGGACCGTGAAATGTCGGTGTCGCCACTGCTGCTGGAGTTGTCGGTGCTGCAGTCGTTGCAGTCGCTGCTGCTGTCGTGGCGAGCGCCGGATGGCTTGTCAGAAAAGCCTCGAGTCGACGAAGCGTCGCCTGCGTCTGCTCCATGTCGGTGCGGAGGCTCGCGACGTCGCTCGTTGTCGCGTAGTTGTCGCCCTGGCCTTCCATGCCTGACATTACGCGTCCGAAAAACCGAATCGAGGAGGAGCGGAAAAACACGGAACCGGTTTTACGTACCCGAAATCGATGTTTAACTGCGTCGCCCCCGCGGTTTTTTTAAGACTGGTTTTTAGCGGTCGAAAGAACTTCGCGTGTAAACGAGCTCTGATTACCAAGTGTGAGGATCGAGGATCGAGTTCAGAAATGAGAATGTAAAACTGATTGATCACCTGGGTACAACACGAGGCTATATATAGGCTCGACACAAGGGGCAGTAACCAGGTGTTACGCGAATGTTCCGAGGGTCGCGAAGCGTCCCAAACAGAACCTTCCCGAACTCGGTAGAAAGCAATTCGGTGGCAACCGAATAGCTTGAGTTCGGTACACGTAACCTAGTTCGGTGCCTATAACTATAATAACTATAGTAAAGCAACGAACCTAGGAATCAAGCAATTCATGCATGCAGAAAATAATCCTAAGCTAGAAGTAGCGTAAGGAAATAAAAGCAAGCATGAATAACAAGCATAAGCCGTCGTACTCTCACAGGAGGAGTGCACATGGACAGACGGGATTTTCGGACCCGCCGACACTTACGGGCTGCAACGAAAAGCGGAGTGGCCATATCGCACTTAGCAGAAGTGGGGCGCAGGCGACGAGGGAAACCGGGGCCGGTAACCTCGGAAAACGACTCGTGCAACGCTGCGTGCCTGGAGTTGTTCAAGCTGGCCGGCAGTTTCGAGAGTGGTTTCTCCTACCAGGGTAGCCGTTTTTGGGGACAGCTGTGAATGACCCACGATTAAACGGCGTTCAACGTACTGCCCCGACATTTACGGAGGAATCGGTACAGGCCGCCGGGACACACGGGAAGAAACTGCCCGACGGCTAAGCGGGGGTCGAGAAACGGCGTGAAGGGCAGGGTAAAAGCCGGTGTGAACGACCTGTGACCTTCCGTCGCCCGAACCTCACCATCCCCACCAAGGTGTAGTTCTGACTCATGCAGTCAACTTCTTTGGCCGAATAACGGGGGTGAACACGTGGCCTACCCTGCGCTGGTTAAAAGCACCTGGGTTGTGCCCGTTTCGACAGCTGTACAGAAAATACCAAAAAAAAGGAGAGTGGCGGCACTGTTCTACTCCGACAAAAGCGGGCTGGGTGAAACAGCACGCGAAAAAATCGGGGCGCCGCAGGACAACACTGGTGCAGTTCGCAGGTTTCCTCTGACCCGAGCGTCTACACGAGGTAACGGCGCAGCGGCGAAGCGGGACCGGACCGGAAGCTGTGGAATTTTAGTGGCGCGACGGGCACGGTGGGCTGCGAAGCGGTTGGGACTGATTTCCTTTTAACTAAGGCAACCCCGACTCCGATAGTCTTTTCTTCTCCACCGTGGCTGGGTTTTGCGCGGGCAACACAGACCATACCCCATCCGACAAAAGCGGACGTTGGGTGAACGGCGGGAAGCAGAATTGTCGGGGGGTGAAACGACAAAAAGATAATGAAGCTGCGGGTATTTCTTCGCTTCTTGGAGTGCGGTTGAGTCGTTGGGGGACTTCGCCTGAAGGGCACTTTTCGAAGTTGCCTGGCAAGAAACACAGCGGCAAGGATTCCTAGGACCCTTGGTGTTTAAACGCACACCTCGGGAAATTCTTAAAAAAAGGGGAGCGTGGGAGCAGTCGTAGCTTCGAGAACATAACGGCCGGCGACAAGCGATTTGTGAAACATCTGCAAAGCGCCGGTGCGGGAACGTGGTTTTTTGTTAAGCGATATCGGCGGGAGCAGTTTTCGACTTCGGAGTCAACGGCGTTGATGCCTCTAGGTTCCGTGAAATTCGGTCTCGGAAGACCCAGGGCAGTCCCCGGTTCTCGATTGAACCCACATGCTGGGGTCGGGTAAACCGACGGAAACTGATGGTGACCGAGTGGGCGGCTATAGCACGTCCGAGATTTTCAAAGGCGAACTGCACCTGCAACTGCGGATATTCAGGGCTGGTTTTGAACGACATTTTCGGAGTTTTAACGCGGGACTTGACAGGTTTTACGGCGAGGAAGCGCCGATAATTTCGTGGGATTCCTACGGCTTTTGGTTAAAAAGCGCGCAACATTTACGTGGAGCAACAACGCGAAAACTACGCGGATTTTCTCAGGGGTACGAAGGACTTACGACGAACTGAAGAAGGCGGCAGCAACAGTGGAAGGGGGGAGAGACAGCTGCAATTTTTTCATCTCTGCCCAGGACCCCTCGGCACATGGCGACAAATTCCTCGGCGAGTCTGGACAAAGCTGCCGATGGTGCTGACATCATCTGACACTGGATCGACGTTCGACAACGTTTTTGGAGTGACATTCGATTTTGGTTACAACTGCAACGACCATCGCCAACTTCCGTCTTCAACTTCGCGTGTCAGATTATGTTGTTTGTCTAGCCTGCAGTGGGGTGCTCAATAGTGAGTACAATGTCAAACATTATATATGTTGTGTTTGTTTAGGCTACAGTGGGTTAGCCTATAGGGGGTACACAATTCTAAGGTTTGGTACTTGTACTGCTTTCACTCATAGTTCAATCATTCCAGTCTCTTCTTTCTGACATGGTATCAGAGCAGGTCCTTCGCTAGGACCGTTCTTAGGGCCCACCACTGAATACCTACCTACCTATCTACTGTCGGAGTGCTGCGTTAGCGCCTCCCCCTCAGCGCCCTCGTGCGCCCTCGTTTACGGCCCCCCCTAAGGCCCCGTCGACCCCGCGCGCCGCCCCTTAGCGATTCGCGCGCCGCCCCTTAGTGGCCCCGTCGAACCCGCGCGCGCCCCGATTTCGGCCCCGTTTGGCCCCGTCGACCCGCGCGCGTCCCCCCTTAGAGGCCCCGCTGGCCCCGTCGACCCGCGCGCGCCCCGTTTACGGCCCCGTCGGTCCCGCACGCGCCCCGCTTACGGCCCCGTCGACCCCGCGCGCACCCCGTTTAGCGGCCCCGCGGCCCCGTCGAGCCCCGCCTAGAGGCCCCGCGGCCCCGTCGCGTCCCGCCTAGAGGCCCCGCGGCCCCGTCGCGTCCCGCTTAGAGGCCCCGCGGCCCCGTCGCGCCCCACCTCACGGCCCCGCGACCCCGTTGCGCCCCGCTTAGCGGCCCCGCGGCCCCGTCGAGCCCCGCTTAGAGGCCCCCCGCGGCCCCGTACCGCATCGGACTCGACATGACGGTTGCTAGGGTCTTTTCGTCTCTTCTTGCGCCTCGACTTCGTACTCGGTAGAGTCGGCTCCTGCAGCGTAAAGGAATGCATTCTCATTAAATTTCATATCATAACACTCCCCTTCATTCCTGGATGCGCTGAAGGTTGACTCGCTTGACCACTCTGGTGAGGTCGGAGCAGTGTTTGTACTGCTGACGTGGCAGTCGCTTCGTGAGAAAGTCGGCGGCCATCTCAGTGGTGGGGCAGTACGCGAGGTCAACCTTGCACTGGTCAATTTCATCTCTGACGAAAAGTTATCGTAGCGCAATGTGCTTCGTGCGGTTCACGAACCTTGGCTTGTTCGCAATTTTGATGGCTCTCTGGTTTTCGCAGTGAAGGTGAAAGGTGCATGAAGTTGGAATTTTCTCCTCCTGCAGTAGCTCCTGCAGGTAAATTCCTTCGTGAACTGCGGCTGTCGCGGCGATGTGCTCTACTTCAGCCGATGACAGGGCAACCAGCTCCTGGTTCTGCGAATTCCAAGAGATCATACTCGTTGGCTCCAGGCAGAAGGCGAAACCAGTTCGTGACTGTCGATTTGCAGGGTCAGTAGCATGATCTGCGTCTACGCAGCCAGTGAGGTTCAAGGAGGTTGTCGTCAGCGTGGAGTAGGAGAGCCCGACGTCAGGTGTTGAAATGAAGTACTGTAGGGCGCGCTCCAGGTCCAGCTGGTTCTCAGCTACTGGCTTGCGAGAATACTGTGCCAGTTGGCTGACAATGTATGAAAGGCCGGTTCGGCCGGTGACAGAGGCGAACAGCAGGGACCCCAATTTCTGCTGGTACAGTTGGAGTCCTGCGGGTGACAGAGGTTTGTTTTCCGATTTGTAGTTGGCGCTGGGAGTGCGGTAAGGAGTTGAGAGTGTTGTGGGTGAGATTTTTAAGCGCTCTCCCAACTTTTCTGCGTACCTGGAGGGTGACAGGTGAATTGCTTCTGGCCCGTAGGTGATTTTTAGTTCCAAAAACGGCGTGACTTTGTGGTTGATGGTGATGTCAACGCGCAGGTTCTCCTCAAACTGATTAAGAAGCTTGTTGCAGGTGCCAGTGTACAGCAGGTCGTCGACATAGACTGTCAGGAGGTTATAATCACCGTTGAAGTGGAGGCGGTACATTCCCGGGTCGTGCGGCAGCTGTCTGAAGCCGATCTCTAGGATTAATTTGTGCAGATGCTGCTGCCATGGACGTGGCACCTGTTTTATCCCGTAGAGAGGGATCGCTCAGGGTTGATTGCATGTAGTATTGCAACGGAAGTATTGAACTCCGGTCAGAGTAAATGTAAATGATAATAATAGCATGCATACATTGAGTATATATAGGAAATGCAAAGGAATGTGAAACGACCTAGGCTACCCATATACTTCAAGGGGTACATTCCCTTATTGCAGAGAAATTTAAACCATGCGGCACAGGAACCAGTTTCAAACCTGTTCCCGCTCTTTTCAGTTCAAATGTTTTCGCCTGCATTAGTCTTGGTCAGACGGTTGCTGGTGTCGCTTCGACTCTTCTAACGCCTTGACTTCGTACTCGCTAGAGTCGGCTCTTGCAGCATACAAGAATGCCTTCTCATAAAGCTTTATATCGTAACACCGCGCAACACGGTTTTGAATTTCGCTGCAATATGGGAATGTACCCCTTATAGTACGTGGCTAGCCTAGGTCGTTTCACATTTCTTCGTATTTCCTTCATGAACTCAATGCATTCATGCTATTATCATCTCAGTCATTTACATTCACTCTGACCTGAGTTCAATACTTCCGCTGCAATACTTCCTGCGATCAACCCTGAAGCGATCCTTCGCTAAGTCTTACATGG